AACCGCTCCGATGAAAGTAGGGTTTCTCTTCCCTGAAACTGGGTCATCAGACCGATAGCAATCGGCCAGAAGCTCCGACGTGTACAACGTTATAATACTAAAGAACACCATAACTATAGGCCCAGCAGCCCAACCCAATTGAGCCATGGCCCATGCCAATGACAGCACTCCAGAACCCACCACAGCTGTTATTATGTGGCAGCTTGTAGTCCAAACGCTTCCTTAAGCCATCAAATTTCATAATTCATATAATATCATCAAATAATACCCAAAATTATAGTCAAATAAACAAATACAGAACTAATTTTTTTAGCACAAATAATCCAATACTCATATTCCTTAATCAAAAATCAGAATTTAATCATAGCCTTTGGTATGAAATTAGAAATAGAGATATCACTTTATTTTAAAATGGATCAACTTGTTAGGAGAAAGTTATACTTTCTAGTTAAATACACACATGATGTGAAAAACTGAAATAAAGGGTACCTGTTCGTTTAACATGGCCATCATCATCGTACAATTTGGAGTCAGTTTGTGAAGGATCAGCATCCATGCCAAAAGCTTGATGGCTGCTAATGTTGGTTCTGGAAGCGTTTTGAAGCATCTTTTATGGACACGAGAGAGAAGAGGAAAATGTAATATAATGATCTTGTTCTGACCAAACAATGATGGAGTTGAATTCACATATGAAAAACAATGTTGATGCCCCAAAATATTTTTTAGTGGGAGTATATTAGCAACCTATACCAAAATTTTAGGACAAAAAAACCACTCATTTCTTTTGATTTGATTAATTCGTATAAAGGATATTATAATAATTTAATTTAATTTTAAATAAAAATAAAATATTTTCTCTCTCTTATTAATTTCATTTTTCAATTCATTTATTTTTTTATTAATTAATTTTTATTTGTTCAGAAAGAGAGGTGGGAGATGAGAGAGAAATAAGTTAAAGAAGGAATTTAATAGAGAGAGATAAATAAGTTAAAGAAATTTAAAACATATTTTTATATAGTTATTTTAATTAATTAAAGGGGTTTTTGTAAAGGTTTGTAAATTATTTATAATAATTTTTTTAATTCTGTTTCAGGCGGAATGAGCTGTTTCAAAAAGTCGAACGGACCGTTCCAAACAATGGGAATAAGCTGTTTTGAGGAAGTAGAACGGGCCGTTCCAAAAGTGGAACGAGCCGTTCCAAATTTGTAAAATGACCAGTTTTGATTTCTCCAGAACGGGCTGTTTCCAAAGGGAAACGGGCCGTTCTGGATTTCTGAAAATGCCTAAAAAAAATTGTTAGAAACGGGTCGTTTCCATAATGGTCAATGTGTGTTAACTTCAATCCCAGAACAGGCCGTTCTGCTTTTAGAACGGGCCGTTCTGCTTTTTGGGAACGGGCCGCTCCGATTTTGGAACGGGCCGTTTCAGTTGAGAATTTTGTGTATGTTTGAAGGTTCCGGAACGGGCCGTTTCGAAATCAGTACGGGACGTTCCGGGTGCGTTAGAATGCCTATAAATAGGAGGCAGGGGGTGAAAATTTTATACTGGAGTGAGAAGTGAAATCTTAGAGAGAGAAAGAGGAAGAGAGAGAGAGAGAGAGAGAAAGAGAAAGAAAGAGAGAGAGAAAGGAAGAGGGAATCCAGAGGAGGAGACTCTGCCCAAGTTTCAACTCCGCTTATCCAGGTAAGGGGGGGAGTGAGAAACCTTGCTCGGGGGTGTGAGAATAATTGTTGGATAGTTTGATTGTCGGATTGGCCCCCAATCCTTGCCTATTGTTTTGTTTTTCTGTTTGCTTTACTTTGTTCCTTGATACTTTGTTCCTTGATACTTTGTTCCTTGATACTTTGTTCCTTGTTACTTTGTTCCTTTAAAGTAATAAATGAATATGGAATTAATGCTAAAAATAAATAAGTATTAATATGAAAAAGAATGTTCTCTGTGAATTCCTATGCGAACCTTATGAAGAGTATTGATGACATGACCATGTGAAATATGGACAAATGACATGAGACCTAAGAATGGACTATTGAGACAAGTTATGATTATGAGAATATGAAGAATAATGACATGATGTATTAAATGAAATTCTGTAATAAGTTAAATGTTGAGTCCATGAGATTATGAATGTATGACATGCATCATATGCATATATTACTCTAGGTGTGCCGCTGAGGCCGCATACCCACGATGTAACACGCTAATAAGGTGTACCGTATGGTCACCCACGATGTAACATGCTAATAAGGTGTACCTTATGGTCACCCACGATGTAACATGCTAATAAGGTGTACCTCAGGGTCACCAGTGATGTAACTAGGTGTACCTTAGGGTCACCAGTGATGATATGTGAAACTTCCTATGGCGCCACATGCATGAATTTATGAGTCGAGGCCATGACATCATTGCATGGTAAATGAGTGTATATGTAATATTGATGATTTATGTGTATTGTTTACATGTGACTTATATTTGTTGTGTGCGTGTGTGTGCTATCTAACCTTTATTTCTGCACCTGAAATCGAGTGAGATGTTTCTCACTCCCTTGTTGTTTTTGAATATGTTTAAATTATGATGCAGGCGATCATCATCATGAGGATGTTAGTGATGAAGCTTAAGGCTTCAGTTGGGCATGCTCTGATAGGATGTGACATCGGGGCTTAGCTACTTTAGTCTAATATGTTATTGTTTTAATAACTTTAGTTTGTTTTCTTTTGTAATTTCTAGCAAATAAATAACGTAAATAAAGTTGTAATCTTTCTTTTGTAATTCCCTATTCACCGAAAAAACAAAATGGAATCAACTTTGTACGAGAAAGTATCATTCTTACAATGTTTGTATTCCACTGGACAGTGTTGCAATTAAGGCCTCTTACATTTTACACTACCAATCGATTTCTCACACTGAGCACAGATTTTAATACAAAACTTACGCTTGAATTTAGTTTAAAAGCAAGTTTTAATCACATTTTAACAATTTTAAATTAAATTTATTCAGCTTCAAAACAATCAAACAATCATTAAGTTGGTGTACATCAATATATGGGGCAAAGTAAAAAGCAATGGGTGTTGCATCGGGAACATGATGGACTTTACCCTCCAAAAGTATTTTAATACGATACTTTCCTCCCGTTGCTTGTCTTTGGGAGAGATTCATATTGGCAATACTTTGTTCACATAAATTGGTGAATTAAGCCAATAATCAATTGACATATTATATTTTAAATACAACATAATCACGTGTCAAAAAGGTTTAAATAATTATATAATGTCAAGCATATTATGTAAAATTATGACTTAATCCACACATATATAGATTCTTTTTTATTGTAATAATTTTTTAACCAATGAAGTTTCTCTAAATTTCAACAATAAATATTCTTTAAATAATAAAGTCTCTTCAACTTCAATAACCAAATATTATTTATAACAATTTTTTTTTTCAGATTTCAAGTTATAATACAAAGTTAAAGTTGAAAAATTATAATTGTTTTGTTTTATTCACAATACATGATACAACAACAATTAAGTATAGAGAATATTACTGAATGAATTTAAAAAGAATGTTTTCTTGTATGTTTGTGTCTCTTCACTTTGAATCTTCAAGCATGTTTGTAACAACTTGAATACATTGGAATGAAAAGAATCTAGAGATTTGTACAAGTATGAGTAGGGATGGGTATATGGACTTAAGCTCGCGAACTGGTCCATTTAGCCCGCGGTCCGTGCAAATATAGACCCAATTTTTAAAATTCATATAACTATAACAAAGTTTCTAGTCCGACCCCAAAGTTTGTAGACTTCATAGACTTAGCCCGCAAACCCTACGGGTAGCCCATGTAAGAACAATAATGCTATTGTTGTGCATTTTATTCCTTGCATGTTAAAACAACATTGCTAATTTTCTATATGTAAATGTGAAAAGTTGAAAACTTAATATTCTTTTTGTGCATTCCTTACTTCCTCCTCTCTATGTTGTGCGTTCCTCACTTTGCCCCCCTTTGCGACTTTGATGCTTTTGTTAGTATATGTAAGCAATTTAGGGATGGGTGATCTTTTAGGAAATTTCTCAAAAATCGCGAGTGATGACAAAACACGCTGAAAAGTCTTGTGTTGTTTTTCGAGGTCAATCGTTGATCCTAAAAGTGTACATACATCTCATAAAGGACTACCCACAGAGAGTTTTAACTGATGAAATGTTCTGACTAACGAGGAGTTGTATGAATTTTCACCGTGTGAAGTGTAGTCGAGTGAAGCCATTAAAACATCATATATTTAAAGGGTGTTACAAATAATTAAGTATAACCACTACTACAAAAACACTGTTTAACATCGCTATATTTACATCGATTTTAGTAGAATCGATGTAAATCATAAACGTGGTGGCAAACTTGTAAATAAATAAAAAATGCAAACATATTTACATCGATTGGGTGGAGAAACGATGTAAATATAAGCAATTCTACGTTGATTTTATGATTAACCAATGTAGAAATGGAATCAAGAAGTTATTCTACATCGGTTTTGCTTATGACTGATATAGAAATGAGACTCTCATATGGGTTAAAGCATACCCTTTCACTCAGCAACGTCCCAGCTGCCGCGAGCAACGACAGAGAGCGAACCCTCTTCTCTTCATCTGGTGAAGCGCCGCCTTCTATCTTCCCCTTCCTCCTCCTCTTTCACTCACACTCACCAACTTGTTACTATCACAACACGCATCCTCGCCGGCGCCAACATGCACCACCAACTCCACCACCTCCACCACCTCCTCCTCTCCTCTCACCCCAACCACATGGCCCACTCTTCCATCACTTCCATGATCCGGGTCCTTCTTCTTCATCTCCGTCTTCGTCGTCCCCAAAATGGTCGTGCAAGGCCTGCACTTTCTTAAACCCTTACAACAACCCCTCTTGCCAGGTTTGCGGCACTCGCTGCCTCTCCAATCTCAAAGACTTGGATGACGCTACTGAACACGATTCTTCTGTTGGCTCTGTTTTCTTCCCTCTTCGACCCTGCAACAAGAGAAAGACCATCAACGACCATGATTCTTCTGAGAGGGTGAATCTGAAGCTCAAGCTATCCCAAAAGGCTACCGATATCACCGGTGATGGTGAGAGAGTGTGTTTCTATCATTCTATGCCTTTTATCGGTTATTTTTATAATTTCTACATTGTTTTTTTTTTTTTTATGAACAACTTTAATACATGGTAGAGGATACTGATTCAGAAAAAGATTTTAGTTCGTTTAAGATATTGAGTTACAATGTTTGGTTCCGGGAAGACTTGGAGTTGCACAAGAGGATGAAGGCTATTGGCGACCTTGTTCAATTGCATTCTCCTTATTTAATTTGTTTCCAGGGAGAAAATATTTTATTTTCATTTAAAATTAAATTAAATTCTTTCTTTAACTTATTTATCTCTCTCTATTAAGTTAACAAAGGCATAATAATTCTAAAAGGAAAACCCATTTAGATTCTTATTAATCACGGGATCCCCATTTATAAAGATACGCAAACAAATTAAATAGGAAATAAATCAAACGAAGACTTTTTTTTATATTTTTTTTATATATTTTTTTTTAATTATTAAAATAACCTGGGCCCATTTTTATTTACCAAAGTAACTCATTTTTTGAGACCCAGGTGAGAAATTGATTAATATGGGTAACTGATTTCTCAATTAGACATTTTTTTTTTGCTTTTTTTTTTAGAA